TCTTTTCTAAGTCAAGTTTTGTTTTTTTGGTTCTATCTTATGTGCAAAGTCATGGAAAAAATACAGGGAAAAGCATAATGTTAAAAATTCATCCTGCTCCACAACAGATAATCTAGAGTCTAGAAATGAATTTAGAAGGCCTATGTAAAGAAAATCAGAGATCATTCATAATTCGAGACAAGATGATCAAAAAAGTAGGAAGTACTTGAAAGGAGAAGCAGGAATAAAAACGAGATCTGAGTATTTGAATTATCAGAGTGTAAAATGTTACTTCTTTCATGCTAAGTATACTAGCATATATAATATATATATATATATATAATATATGTATTGATCGCGAACGACATGGCAATCGATCTTGATATGTTTTGTTTGTTCGTAAAATACAAGATTTGCAGTGATCTCTATGGCTGCTTTGCTGTCACAATAGAAGGGAAAAGGCAAAGAAGGAGAGATATGAAAATCCTTGAGAATATAGGCAATCCACTGTAACTCTTGAGTGGCCATGGCCATTGCTCGATATTCAGCTTCAGCTGATGAGCAAGAGATCATTCCTTGTTTCTTAGTTTTCCAACTGATAAAACTGGTTCCCAAGAAAACACAATATCCAGTAAGTGAATGTCGAGATGATCTACAGGACCCCCAATCCGAATCACTATAGGCCTGAATAGAAAGAGATGCATCAGAGGCATAAAAAAGTCCCTTGCCTACACAACCAGACAGATAACGCAACACATGGATGACTCCTTGCCAATGCAAATCATGTGGAGCTTGCACATGTTGACTGAGCTATTGAACGACATATATCAAGTCTGGACGTGCATAATTGAGATAGAGGAGTCGACCAACTAGTCGACGATATTGAGAAAGATCATGATAAAAAGGGGTAGAATCTGTATCCTCAGAAACAAAGTGAAGTCCAGGGGATAATGGAGTGGTTGGAGCTTTACAAGCCAATACACCAGCAGAAGATAACAGATCTGTAATGTATTTTCTTTGGCTGATATAAATCCCTGTGGATGAACGAACAATCTCCATGTCTAAAAAATACTTGGCATAACCCAAGTTCTTTATAGTGAATAAGTAAGGAAGATATTCCTTGACCTTGACAATTTCAGCTTCACTGGATCCTGTCACCAACGCATCATCCACATAGACTAACAAATATAACTGATAATCAGGTCTGTGATAATAAAACAAACATGGATCATGATAAGACTGTTAGAATCCATAGGCAGTGAGCTTGGATGAAAACTGTAGATTCCACTGTTTAGACACATGCTTTAAGCCATATATTAACTTATTTAAACGGCAAACTTGACCTGATTTCAACTTGTCATAACCCAAAGGAGGCAGCATATATACTTCCTCATCTAGAAAACCATAAAGAAAGGCATTGTTTATATCAAGTTGATGAACTGGCCAACCTGTGGATGCTGCTATAGCAAACACCATTCTGACTGTTACTATCTTGGCCACAAGAGAGAAAACTTCACAAAAGTCTTCTCCTTCAACTTGTGTATAACCCTTTGTAACAAGTCTAGCCTTATATCTGTCCAATGATCCATCTAGTTTTCTTTCAATCTGGCAAATCTGCTATGGTCCATGTGGTGTTATTTTCAAGGGCTTCTATCTCCTGCCTCATGGCTTCCGTCCATTTTAGATTGGTTCGAGCTTGATTATAAGTACTAGGCTCAGACATCTAAGACACATTGGCAACAAAAGACATGTATGCAGGAGATGGAAGGAAAATAGATGGAGAAGGATTTTCTACACAGATAAAAGAGGTCTCAAAGTCTTGCATCCAGCCAGGCTGTTTTCTGACCCTAGAACTCACTTTAAGAGAGGGTTGAATAGAGAATGTGGAATGAGATACAGGATCAGGAGAAGGATTAGAAGAGGAGGATTCATGTGAATCATCAGAAATGGAGGAAGTATCAGTATTGAATATGGGATCATGCATAACAGAAGAATCATGCTAAGAATGTGATGTTGATACATCATCTGGACAATGAAAGGCTGGAAGAATGCATTGATCATCAAAGGAAGATGAAATTGAAGGAAAGATGTTCTCATGAAAGAGAACATCCCTTGAAACTATAATTTTCTTCAAAGAAGGAACATAGACTTTATATCCTTTCTGTGTATGAGGATACCCAACAAACAAACCTTCAAAGGATCTAGGATCTAGTTTGTCTCTATTTGGACCATTGTTTAATGCAAACACTTTGCACCCAAAAACTCTAAGATTAGTAAGATCAGGTTTAGTTTGATATAAGAGTTCAAAAGGTGACTTCCAATATAAAAGAGAAGAAGGAATTCTATTGATTAAATATGTGGCTATAAGCAAAGCTTCCCCCCAAAAGCACTTTGAAAGTTTGGCTTGAAGTAGTAAAGATCGAGTAACCTGTAAAAGATGTTTGTGTTTATGCTCAACAACACCATTCTGCTGGGGAGTATAAACACAGGACCTTTGATGGATGATTCCTTTATCAAGGAAAAGTTGAGAGCAAGACTGATTAATGAATTCAGAACCATTATCAGTACGGATAATTTTGACAGGGCTAGCAAACTGAGTTTGAACCATCATGAGAAACTATAATATCAAGGTTATAACTTGGGTTTTATGCTGGAAAAGAAATGTCCATGTGCTTCTACTGAAGTCATCCATAACAGTGAGGAAATATTGACAATTAGTAGTACTCTTGTATGTATATGGTCCCCAAACAGCCATGTGGACTAAATCAAAACACTGTTTAGAATGAATTGAACTCAATGGAAAACAAAGTCTACATTGTTTAGAAAGTGGACAAAAATGACAATTCTCTATAGCAGATTTCTCATTTGTTGAAGAAATTGAAGCAGACTGGTCTGAATTTACCAAATGCTGCATTACAATAAAGGATGGATGACCTAATCTTGAATGCAATAGAGAAGGAGAAACTATGACTGAACAAGCAACATTAATGGATTGTCTTGAAGGCTGAACTATGACAGAAGCTTGAACATGAAGCATGTGAGATGCATAGAGTTCTTGAGACTGTATGATGGCTTGTGAAGTAAAGGAATGATCATCCAAAATGTAAAGTTCCTTAATGACTCTACCCGCTGCTAGGACTTTTCATGTACTAAGGTCCTGCAGTAGACAAAAGTCAGCGTATTTTGAAAAAGAAGTTGGAAGACTTAGCTAGCTTTCTAACTTATAAAAGGTTATACTTAAACCCTGGCACATGCATACAAGAAGACAATGTGATAGACTCTGATAAAGAGACATCACCAAAATGAGTAACATGTTTAATGCTACCATCAGGAAGTAAAATAGGGGTAGGCTTATCAGAAGGTAAGATGTTATGCATGATTTCAAGAGAAGTGCACATATGTCTTGTTGCTCTTATGTCTGGGAGCTAAGCACTAGGATTAATATAATCACAAATAGCTGATCCAATTTTCGAGGTAGTATTCCTACCTGATATGTCATAAAAATGAGCCATATTGACCCTATGACTTTCTGAGGATTCTTCCACACTCTTTCCTTTTCCCAACCTATCCAATTCCTGCTGCATTGCTGTGATCATAGACTGCAATTGCTTCTGTTGCTCTTCATTACCTGATCCCTCATTAATTGGAGTTTCAGGTAGATTAGTAGCAATCATATTTGCTAATCCAAACCTGTGCTGACTGCTTCCTTCACCACCTCGGAGTCCCTGTGACTTCTTTCCTGGCCACCACTGAGGATAACCTTTAATCTTGAAACAGTCTTCTTTCAAATGTCCAGGCCTCTGACAGTAAGTACACTTCATATTTTCCTTCTCTATTGGAGTGATTTTCAGCTTGCTACAGTCCTCCTTCTTGTGACCATTCCTCTTGCAATAGTTACAGAACAAGACATTCTTCTCTGCTTTAGGCTGATTGTTACTAGAACTAGGGGGATATTTCTTTCAGTCAGGTGCCTTGATCATCATTGCCACATTTTCATTGTCAATTGCTGCAAGGTTAGTACTCACCTGCCTATGTTTCTCTGCATTTAACAACATGTTGTATGCCTTTTTCTCAGAAGGTATTGACTCCATAAAGAGGATTTGATTCTTCTCATGTCCATAAATTTCATTCAAACCCATCAGAAATTCCATGGTTTTGTTTTCCCTAGACTTGATAGACAACATATTTCCTATTTCTCCGTCCAAACTAGGTGTAGGTCTCAATTGCTCATATTGATCCCAGAGTCTTTTCAACTTTCCATAATATTGATCTCACTTGGTGGATTGGATGCAAACCAACCTAATCAAATCATCCACGAAAATTTTTCTTCCAGCCTGCATGAATCTAACATGCGACCTCTGGGATTTATTCGGCACACGTTAGGGCTTTTTTTAGTGGTTCCCAACCCACACTCCACGCTCTACCATTGAACTATGACCGGTTGTTCGATTTACAATACTTATTAACTTTATAGTTTAAACACCTAAGGCACCGCCATTTGTTTACAACAATGACCCAATGGTTTCCAAAAAGATACCTTTGACACGTTTTCCGAAGATCAAAAGAGGTTGATTGTAGAAGGAGTTCTTGATCCAGGGATTTATAATTTTCAAAAGCCGATCCTCCAGCGACTTCCAGATGTGAACTCTGCTATCTCTAAGCCAAAAACCAAGCTGTGAACATCCCCAAATCCCTTCAAAGTGAGTGTTGCATTGTTTCCTTCCTTGAACAGATCAGAACCTTAGCTGAAGATTGACACATTGTCAACGATCTACAACATCAACCAAATTCTCAATGTTCGCCATCTTTTTATCAGTATCTATAGAGGTGCTAATAAATGCTTGAAACTATGTTGCAAAAACAGAGTTTTTTTAGTTTCCTTCAAACACGGGAGAATATTGTTACTACTAGATAAAATTCAGGGCTACATATGTTTCCCCAGAAAAGGAAAAATCGAATGAAAAAAAAAAAAAGGGAGGTCGTGGTATGATTATTGATGCGGAGGATCTCAGCTACAGAGCATGAAACTCAAATCTCCAAAGTCCAAAACTACTGTGATCTCAGGTTTGCCTCATCTCAACTTAGATTTCTGTCAGCTTTCTCTTTGAATTGGTCCTCCTCATTAATTAAAATTGTAATCTTTTCTGAGCTAATTATTGAGGAAGTCAGACTTGCATATATAAACCAGCATCATAGTACAGAACTTCTCTTGGGTGTGAGAATAACAACATGAAGAGTATGTAATGATCACTCGCTCAGCGGAGGCAGGCATTTTGTAAAGCAAATAATAAATCACATTTGATTCGACACACTGGATTTGTAATCAGCACTAACTAGAACATCAAAAACACAGTATCCAGATGATTTGTAGGTCCGTTCATGATCATACTTCCTCTAGATTTGACAAGTGATCATCCGAATGTCAACGCTCAGGATTGTAATTTCTTCACTCAACCAATTGAGGGACCTTTTAAGGATATATTACAAAGTGTGCTCCATCAGGATTCAGGGCACAATGTATGGAGCTAAACATGTTCCCTTTCAATTCAAGTTCATCAGACGACGTATTTACGGGTTTCCTGGATGTAACTTGTTTCTAATTCAGAATGATGAAATCTCAGCGGTAAAGATTAACTGATGCGCCTTTTAGGAGTGTGTAATTGGGTTGCAGGATTTCCTTATTTTTTTGACGGGTGAGGTTTGCCTTTGTTGGGTTGGATTTAGAATGGATTAGACGCGCGCACCGACCTAATCTAAATAATCCAGGGGGAAAAAAAAATTAAAGTTCCGGCCTGCAGGAGTTGAACCTGCGACCTCGAGGATTTGAATCGCATAGAGGGTTTTTTAAGGTGGTGCCCAAACCACACCCCGCGCTCTCCCGCTGAGCTAAGGCCGGTTCTTCGATTTACCTTCATCATATAATAACTTTATATTTTAAAAGGATTTACGCACCGCCATAGGAATATACACCCATTCTGAATAGCTGTGTGACAGGAGTTGTTCCGTTGTTGGATTGGATTGGATTGGACGCACACCGACCAAATCTTGAGGAAGTGAATTTTTGCTCGAAGATCTGCGAAAGAAGGTACTAGTTAGTTTACATTAAGAGCCCTGTTTTTCCTCGTGTTGTTTTAGCGCGCAGACTAAGAGAAATGTAACTTGATGCTTTTGTCTAACAAATTAAGATATAAAAACTAAGGATTGGTTCATATGTGTTGTAGTGCTTAAAAGCAGAGAGGGAGGGGAAGAAAACCTTGATCGCAGAGGTATTGAAGTGGCTGAAATCGTCTCTTTCAGCTTACAAAGAGGAAAGGTTGTCAGTTGGAATACTGGTTGCCGTGTTGAATGAATCGGTACTTCTTTTTTTCTCTATAAGCTCTAATTTTGTTCTGAGTTCTGAAGTAGAACCTTCCATATCCTATTCTCTAATTGAGTGCAGGAGCGTGGCCTGTATCGCATGAATGGTAAAGGGAAACAAGTTAAAGATGATATACTTGCCACTGGATCTGGTTCAGGTGCTAAATTTATCCTGATGGATGGGTATGCTCCCTTCTCCTGTATGAGCTTCTCTGTAATCTTTGTTTGTGTTGTGCTGTGAGCTAAACAAACTCGTTTCTGCTTCTTTTTGTAGGCTCGGTCACTTTCCGGACTTTGACGCTGGACTTGGCCTGCCTTTCTAGTATGCTCCTTTCTCCAGTCAAATTGGTTTATGTTGCGTTGGGTGTTACGTTTCCAGTCAACTTTCTGAAAGCAAACTATTTTGTGGTTTTTGTAGTAAGCGCAAATGCAGTTTGTCTGTAACCGAAGCTGCAGACTTGGCGAAAAAGGCTTTATGCTATGCTGCAGATACTGCTCCTCATCATGGCGACATTGTTACTGGTATGTTCCCTGATCTCCTTGGCTGCTGTGTTTCTTGCAATGTCTTCAGTCTGTTTCCCTATTTATTATCCCTGATTATGTGCTGCTTTCTCTGTTTTCAAGTTTACCATCTTGGAAGTGAAGGTTGCAAGAAGCTCCTTGAGGATGATATAGAAGCATGGACAAAGGAAAACATCAAATGCCAAAGGATGAGGTACGAGGTCTTTGGAAAAGGATGGTGAAACATTTTCTCCTTGTTCGATTTGCGTAGCTTGTGGTCAGCAAGAGACCTCTGGTTTAGTGTTTCTTTTATTGGTTTGTTTTCGCAATGAACAGTGTTTAGCACTACAGTCTGGTCAGACAAAAAAACCTTTTATCATCATCATAGACTGCTGCACTTTAGCCAGGAGATTGATGGTACAACAACAGCAACAACAAGCAGCCTTTTAATCTAATTATATCATTATATCGTCATATTAACTTAATCATTATGAAGGTCTGTTTTTGTTACTGAATTAAATGAGTTTCTGTTATCGGATTAAATAGACTACGAGGCGCACATATAAAATCTAATAAAATATCACACTTAAACTCCTATAACGATAATAATCATATTTTCATCACTAAAATTGAGTCGCTAAACTCAAACATGTGACAAATAATCAAATTAAGGATAAAGCAAAACTCAAACGTGTAACACATAATCAAATTAAGGACAAATCTAATTATAGGTAGCCCAGATTTTGATGTTCCAAGTTTCATCGACACAATTAGGTTCATAGATTTGGAGAGATTGAAAGATTGAAATAATCTCGTGTGTATAATAAATCTGTTGCGCTAAACATTACTATAATATTCGATTGTTCATCACATTATTTGGGAATGCGAGGAAGGCATCTCCTCCATCTTATACATTTCTGATTTGTCCAATGCCAATAAACCACTAAAAAATCACCATTCATCCTCATATCAACATCTGGTCATATAAAAATTGCAGAAGGGAAATGGATTTGCGAGCAATAAATTGAAAAGCATTCATTGAAACATCCATACAGATTCGAGCATTACAAGAAACCATAATCTTCCATGTGCTCCATACACGTTTTGGTAAAAATCAAACAGGATGCATGATTTACTCCTAGAACTCGAAGTCAGAGTTGGGCTTCTTTCGTTGGCTCTATATCCCTTCTCAAAGTCCTTTGGAAGAATGACATACCAATTCTTGCGCACAGCATGCATTCCTGCTTCCTGACAGACAGCTGCAATCGACAAGGCCGAACCCAGTTCATATGTCAGTTTTCTCATAACTCTCTACTAAGCTAATGGATTCACATAGCAAGCAAAGAAGAATTCCACAGCAAAGATGAATAGCTGATAGTAAAGAAGAATATGTGCCATTGTAGTTTTGGTACGAAAAATTAACTAAAGTTTTCAGAAAAAATGAAAATAGGATAAAGGCTGAAACACAGCCATCACTGCATCAGACGAGGCATCATAATGTGGCATCAGATGAAGGGCAAAAGATAATCTAATGAAGGTGATGCTCAAATCAAATATTGCAAAACAGAAGAAACACCTAACCTTATCCAAGTGGGAACAGGATTGATGAACTGTTTTTGCGGCAGGGTACATTTTCAGGGTTAAGTCTCGGAGATGAATGGAAAAATTATCTCATTTCGTAGAATTTTGGCCCCAAAGGTTTATTTGAGAAAAGAAACTAACCTCAGCAGCACTTATTTTATCTGGTCCGGAAACATAGTCCTCTAAGTCAACCTCATCATCCAAATTCATTTTGGCAGTACAAAAGCAACACCATAAGTTCAAACTTAGAGAGATACTACACACATACAAGGTATTGAAGATAATGCAGAAGATGTGAGAGTGTATCTGTGCAAAATACACCTGAAACACAAGTCTCTTCTGACGTCTATCAGGCAACGGAAACTCAAATCTTCCTATCGAGCCTTCCAGGGCGTAGAAGCGCAGGGTCCAACGTATCAGCACGATTAGTTGCCATTATAACCTTCACATTCAGTCTGGTCAAACCCATCCATCTGCAGAAGAAAACAGTACACACAATATTACAGGTGCTTCGAATAGCCAACACTCTGCTTCACCTCAACAGATGGCTTTTTTGACTTTCATTTGGGGACAGTTTACTTTTCGAGACGGTAGTTCTTTTAACAAAAGTAATTAATGAACAGGGAATAAACATAAAGCTTCCTCCCTATTCAGAGCTCGAATAGTCCTTTTCTGAAAATTTAGTAGCCATAAAAGAGTGCTAATCTCATACAACATCAATTCCATTGGTGGTATTTCCCAACAAACCATCTTGTCTCTTGAACTTCCAAAAAGTTGAATTCCATGAACCAGTACAAGCCTTCCAAGTGATCAAGATATCAATATACATGCTTTAATAGGGATTTCTGGTTCATGCAGAACTAATATGTTCTTGCTTCTGCAGTCATGTTGCAAATCTCTGTTCTTGACCATATTCTTTGAAGTAATAAAGAAACCAGTTAGCAGCTGATAATTTTCTCTGATAAGCTTCAACCATAATCTTTTTGGTAACAATTCAAGTCCTGTCGAATCTGGTGAACTCTTCAAAAGCATATTTAGTAAGCAGATGACTCACAGAAAGATTGAACTTCCCAGCAGCAACCTAGTCCCGAATGCAGGAATCCACACAGGACCTAATGGAATCATAATCCTTGTAGTCTAAGTACAGTTTGAATTTCACAATCGAGAGATGGGCGGGGGCGGTGGAGGAGTGTTTTGGCGAATAAAATCAGCAAACAGCTTGTGCTCGATCCTGTTAGTTTTCTAGACGGCAGTGGTTTCGATGGCGTTGGTGCCAGATAAATGAATAAATTTAGAGAACTACAATATCTAGCATACACAGAAAAGAATTTCGTTTTGAGTCCACAAACTCCTCAGATTTGGATGGTCGATGCACGTATTCATGAATTTTTTTTCAGTGTCAGACTTAAAACCAAGGCTTCGAAAATTAGCAAACAAGGTGACTGCATTTCTAGGAATTTGATTTCGCTGTCTTTGAGTTGCGCTCTGGGCGAGATGGTCGACAACTTTGTGGAAGAGAAAAAGATTGTAAATATGAAAATTCCATCAGGTTGGAACTCCGCTATGTATTCGTAGGATGGGCTCAGTGAAGGTCGTTTACATTCGTCATGCCATCGGTTAAGATCGACAATAATCAGTTTCCTTCGAAGCAAAATACCAAAGAGTGGTTGTTAAGTTGGGACGGGCAAAAGGGTTTCAAGGGAACGTGAATGTCAAGATGGTCTTGTTGGCCTCATAACAAGGAAATCAGTGGATGGATTCAAAGCCAACTATTGATACAGATTTCTCGGAGAATTGGTGTTTGATACCTCTAAAGGACTCTCAACTGAAATTTCAATCAATTCCAGCTTTAGATAATTTCAGTTCAATTTTAGTTCTATTCGATAATATGTATCAAAATTTTCGCTGAAATTGAAATTCAAGCACACAAGAAAATAGGTTATGCAAACCTTTCTGAAGGCCGCTCGTGCAGATCGAAGTCCTACAAGCATTTAGCAAAGAAACCTAAAAACAAAACCAATGTACAAATAACCTCAAAGAATATCCATCAACACACAGAAATGTAATGCTAAAGTGAAGAACCAAAAGAAATTCCCATACTTCAAAGCAAGTTTCAGATCCAGGTTAATTTGATTGTGAGGAAGGTAGTCAGAGAACAAATGAAGGCAATGATGTTTGATTCACTTCTGCAGGAAATGCAACAATCTTTTCCAAGACAACTCCGTGTTGTTTCAAGAGGCTCGCAACACACTTTTCATTTTTGGTTCCCTTGTACCTCTTCATCTGGACTAGCCTAAGTCTAGGTATTTGAAAATGGATTAACCTGAACTTTTTACTTTTACGCAAGCCTCCCTGAAATTAGAGCAAGTTAACACTGTCAGCATCAACTCGCCTGTGTGACAGAGGGTGCTACATATGTGTTTTACGGAGAATTCTAATGTAAATAAATGCTGAACACAATACTCACATCCTGGTTTGAATCATAATAGTGGACAAGGACAAGAGTCTCCATCTGTGGGCATGTCCGCATTGATATTTCCAGGCCAAGAAGATCATGTCTTGAGTACGAAGTGAAAAGTTCTAAAATTTTGAGATTGTCAAACGCAAAAGTTTTTGAGAAGAATTTCTCTCCGACCTTAAGCTACAGACAGAAAGACTCAAATGTGAGAAACAACGATAACACCTGTACTTGACCGTAATAAAACATCATCCAACTATCCAAGAAGGATACAACTCTTTTTGGGCCAAATTACCAAAAATAAAACAAAATTAGTGTCACGTCTCAGAATTCCAATCAAGTTCTGGAAAAAAATGTGCTTTTTTTTTTTTTCTTTTTCCAACGGAAACCTCGAAACAGAACTTTTATCCCCATTTTTGAAAAACTAGCATTGGAAGAAAAAGGGTTAGTTTTTGGATCGCATAATGCATGAGAAACAAACAAAATAGATAAGGGGTAGTTACAGAACATCACATGCACTTCAGGATAAATTTCCACTATACTACTAAATAATTACTCCACAAATCATTCTTATCCATAAATCACACAATAGAGGAATAAATTACCAGCTTTCAATCAAAGAGGAAACAGATAAAAGAAACAGCTCGGCGAATTGAAGTATACATGCATGTGGAATGTTTGAGAATAAATTTACTGTTTTACTTTCCGGAGAGTTAGACACCATTCTAAAAGTCATAAAAACACATGAGCAAACAAAAAAGGATGTGTATTACCTTTCCGTGGAACTCTTTATCTTCATCATCCATTAATAGTTGCTTAAGGTTGCTATTTAGTGGTTCCTTCAAAGTATCTATATGAACCTAAAAGTGAAAATATCATCAGAGATATTCAAGATATGAACAAGAAAAGTTTCACTAAAAGTTGTTCACTTAACCAATGAGCCTTACTAAGAACCTCACTGCAGCATATCAAAGAAACTTAACTACTTAAAAGTTGATCTGTTCACATACAAAATAGCCTTCATGGTTTGTACATGGCCAAAGGCAATGACTTCTATATACAAAGATTGCAGATATTTCCAAAAATAAAGGCATGTTTTGATGGAATATGCTGTGTGAGAATTAAAAAAAAAAAAAAAAAACAAAAAAGAGGAAACAAATGGCACACTTTAATCTTTATATAACCTCATACATTGTAGTCGTAGATGAATGCCTAAATACAAAACAAGTAGGCGATTGATCATAATTCTCCAAGACACTTGCTCAAGTATCAACAATTTGAAATAAAAACACAAGGTCATACCATGTCTTAGGATAAGAAGAATAAAAGACAACATACCAGAAACCAACTCCAAAAGTTTCCTGTGGTTAAACGGGTGACACCTCTAAGACAGCTTAGTATGTTAGTCCAGCATGCGAATTCCCACCAAAATCTGCGGTCAAACGTCACATGAGCTTCAACCAAAGCCGACATATCTTCCAAAGCATACCTTCCACAATAAGCACGATCAAATATTACAGTTTCCAGACGTGGAGCCCGTATCTCAACTGAATGTTGCTCAGTTTGGATATGATAAAAGTTTTCTAGCTTGAGATACTTGAGCTTTGGGGATACCAGTTTCAGATTCTGTATATTCAGAACTTTTGCAATGGATAAAACCTCAATGTTAACGCATAATGCCATCATGTTTGCAATCTCTTCAGCTGTGGAACCAAGCGATTCTAAATATATTTCCCTGAGAGAGTTAACCTTCATGGACGATAAAGCTCTAACAGGGAAACAGAGGTGACAGTTTCGCAGTCTTAAAACCTTAACAGAGCTATTAATTAAGTCAGAAAAATGAAAATCATAAGGCGCCATTTCATGATCCCAACAGCGATTTTCATAATCATCTAGATCTTCACCCGCACATCCCTTCCTAAAAGAGGGACGATACGTAAAGGAATTGAATGCGAAATCGAGCTCTGTTGCTGCAGCATTGACTACGTATCGAAGCCAGGAATGAACGGAGTACCTTATGGACTCAAAATCCTTGTAGTTGTAGGACAATTTGAATTTCTCGATCGGAAAAAGGCGGGAACGGTGGAGGAGTGTTCGGCTGGTAAATTCAGCAAACAGTTGGCGGGCGTCCCGGTTAGTCTTCTCCGGGATATGAGAATGGAACTCTTCCATGTCGAAATTGAGGATCGGAACGGAATGCCAGAGGTTGCGCCAGTTCCGAGCGACGGAGGCGGTTTTGATGGCGGAGGTGATAGGGAGGAAGGAAAGGATGTGGACAAGGATGCTCTCCGGGAGATCGTTTATGGAAGTTGTGGATGGTTCCATTTCCAGTGATACAGATTCTTTCTTCTTTTGGTGCATTGTGTTTTGCCGTCTCCGCTTCGTGCCGATATTCATGGCTTTTTTTATTCCGGGCGGCGGTTTTAGTTGAAATCAGAAATGACTGCAAATCACGAGATTCCAGTTCGGATTAAGGGTGTGCAATTGGAGAGGGAAATGGTGGGAAATTTCTGATTGTTATAGGAGGATTTGGATTTTTATGACTTTTTTTCTTTCTTTTTTTCTCCCCTCCCCTTAACTTACCATTAATTTTATTTACAGTTTTTTTTTTTTTAATAATTACGATAATTTCGTGTTATCTCGGTCTATCTAGTCTAGTGAATCAAAAAGGTGATTAACCCAAACGCTGCAGTAGATAAAACAATCAAGCACAAATTGGACGTCAACCCTAAAACCGTTGCCCAAAGAAACCCACGTGCTCCCTGGAATCTGTCAATTTCATCATCTTCCCACTCGAAATTTTGAAAGAAAAACTCCCTCCTTCTTTTCATCTTCCACGGTAACAATCCGAAAATCATACCCGGAAATTGGCAATAGGGTTGGCAAAAGCGTCGGACATCATATTAGTTGGCAAACCCAGGTGCTTAATTTCAGCGAGGTTTACAATTCTTCATTGAATTTTGATCTGTTCTTCATTTTTTTTTTCTTTTTTTTAGTTACTATCTACTCTTCATTTTGATATACTCCTTCCGTCCCACTATTTCTGAGACGAAGAGAGTACAATTTATTAATGTTTAGAATTTGTGGTGCGTATCGGTGAAGAAAAATACTTCAAAAACAAAGCACCCAACACCTGGACATATTAGCGGTGACCTCTCTTTGTTGGAGACCAGTTCTATAATCTTCTACTCCCTCCGTTCTTACTTTAAATTATTTTGATTTCTCTTAGTTTTATTTATTGTTTTTTTCTAATTAATAATGGAACTTTAAACGTAATTTATCACTTATAGCCATTAAGAGAACACAATAAATGTGAAAATGCATTTTTCAGATGAATATAAACGGAGGCGATGTTGTTCAATCCACTTGTGCAGGAAATGCAACAATCTTTTCCATCAATATCCCCCTTACTGCATAATGCGGTAGACAAGGTCTTACATATGAATGTTTTTCCAGTTCATCCTAAATCGTAAAGGAAGAAGAACCCCTCTCCCCTCTGTTGTCCCTGGAAACTACACCGATAATTTGATTGCATACATTTTTTCGCTCATCATTTAGTGCAAATATCAGTGTTTCGTGCTCAGTTGTTAATGCTCCAATGTTATAATTTCTTTCCATTCTGATATACTGGTTCGTGACATTAGGGTCAATGTGGTCCGATCGATAAGGCATGCCTTTAAAATTTTTCAATGTGTTTCCCAGTTTTCTCAGCAAATTTTCCACATCGGCCAGTGTGTAATCATGTCCTTCAACAATTCAATATATGTCAAAGCATATAACAATATTTTTTCATGAAAGTGGATAAAATTAAAATAAAACATGAACTACGTCATATTTTGGCTAACATGCACCATGGCAACAATTTCCACCTAATGAAAGAATTGCAAAAAAAAAAAGAAAAGAAAAAATGTAAATGCTTTAGCACAGACTACGTACTTGAGTTGCAACCATAGATTAACCTTGCTTATACTGAATATCATCAGTCATGGGATGCAGCATCTTATCACAGTTATGTTTTATATTTTTTGACTTTTTTTGTGTATGAGCTTAGAATAAAGTTCCCCGACAAAAAAATATGAGTTTATCCGTGTAGGTTCTTTTATGGTATCGGAACTAATTCTTTTGGAAAAGACCCATTGCTTCGCAAGTATCTCTGAAGGTCTCATGGACTACGCTGTTGATTTTTTTGATGTCTTCGTAACATGTGGGCCACATAATTTTATTGAACAAAATCCTCAAATTGTACATTTTCCTTTGAAAAGGCAAGGCATTTGAATTCTCCCTTTGGAGATTCCTAGTTTCCTTTTGTTGCCATTGTCTTTTTTTTTTTTTTCCGGTTCCAAACAAATTTACTTGGGAATTCCTCATATGTCAAACATCTGGTGTCTTTAAAATATTTGTTGCACTCCGTCCAACTAGCAAACGTAAGTGCATTGTTTCCTAGCTTTTTCAACGGGGCGCGTACACTATCAATTTCCTTAAACAAAACATGATTCCTTAGGAAGATGGAACGACAATCTCCCAACGGGTGTCGACCTGTAATGTATGGGGAAACCATAAAAAATTCTCTATATTGCCTCACACACAGAATGTATCTACAACTATAGTGAGCATCGATCACATCCAGTGTTCTCACCGGTGCTATTGCCTCACCACTCTCAAATTGAGTTATGGTTATGTTCGGACCTTTATTTATGTACTTGAACAAATATTTGATTGATGTCATGTGATTGCACCACTCGACATTGATATCCACTTGAAGCATCTTCTTGAGTTTCGAGTTGTAAGGGACAACAAACAAATCATCCAAAGTAGTCGCACTCTCCATGACTTTAATGTCATTTTCCCACCTCATGTACTCTGGGCTTCCGTGCTTGTCGATATGACTGACCTCCTAGAATTTTTTGGAAAAAATTTTGGTTCATTGCCTGTTGTCGATGCATGGACTATTGGGTACTAACCCATAAGGTTCATGCATCATGTATTCTTTTAACATCTCATGAAGTTCAGAATCTCAATATTTATCTAGGATTTTGGTAGATATTATATCATCAAATTCCCCTGGCTTTATGATCTTCTCATCTGGGTATATCTAAAACAAACCATGGACACGAGGCAATCCACGTTTTAGGAACTCAACTGTATATCTCACTGCACATAAGAAAAATGTGATCAAAAGTTTGAATTCTAATGTTATTAATTCAAACATATTGTTTCAATAATTGTTCTAGTTGCTTTAATAGTTGCAATTTTTGTAGCCCGACAATATTTAAAATAGTAAATAAGCAATTTTCACGTATTGAAGACTTGGTATATGTGATTCAATCAAATCGATTGAGTTGGTGTTTAGATTGAACTGAAAAAGATTGAGTTGGAGTTGGTTAATAATGCTCAAGCATATACTTGTGTTGAGTGTGTATTTATTTTCTTTTGGGATCTATGGATTGATCACAAGTCAAAATATGGTTAGAGCTCTTACGCATCTTGAACTTATAATAAATGCATTTAATATAAATTTTGTAACATTTTCTAATTTTTTTGATAGTCATCAATTAAAGGGGGACATTTTTGCAATTTTTGTTATAGTTATTGCAACCAATGAAGTAGCTATTGGATTGGCTATTGTTTCATTAATTTATTGTAACTGGAAAACCAACTCGTATTAACCAATCAAATTTGTTGAATAATTAGTAGTAGTGATACAAATTTCAAACAAATTCCAATAGTCATGAAGGAATTTCTATGTTTGCTACATTAAGGTATAATAGTGTTTACAAAAATCTAAGAAATCAAAGTATCTTGAACCCTTGTCATAAATCAATCCAGAAGTAAACTGATTAGAAAAGTTCTGCTAACCTGTTGATTCATCTGGTATTGAAATCTTAAATTAAATATCTATAGTAAATTTTATATTAAATATAGGATTTATATATAAGCTTACTAGGTTGAAAATTGTTGACGCTCAAAATGCATAGATTCAATGTCACATTCAGTAAAGATTTATGATACGTGTATAGGTTGTACTCAAAGTGTCCGAGCATGCCCGACCGATGTATTAGAAATGATACTCTGGGACAGGTGTAAAGCGAAACAAATTGCTTCTGCTCCATGAACAGAGATTGCGTTGGTTGTAAAAGATGTGAATATGCATGCCCAACCGAGTTTTTAAGTGTTCGAGTATCTCATGAAACAACTCGCAGTATGGGTCTAGCTTATTGTTACATTCGAGAAAATTTTATTTGAATTTAGTTGAATCAATTTGATTTTTTTATCGACAAACCTGAGCACGGGTTTGTCTGGTCCAAGTGTATCTTGTATTTACCACGAATTATTTTACTTGGTTAAAAACAATTGGAATTTTACCTGTATTTGTTGGTTCCTTTATTTTTTGTCTTCCTCATAGAGGAAATAAGGTCATCCAACAGTATACCATATTCATATGCACACTTAAACTAATTTAATGGCTTGCACATTCTATTATCAATGCCAAATGGATACGCCACTAATCCAATTAGCAGGGGTTATGAGGAGATCCATTTTTTTTAATTTTGATTGGAGATTGGGAATAGATGGACTTTCTATAGGACTTATTTTGCTAATGGGATTTATCACTACCTTAGTGACTTTAATTAGCAGCTTGCCGGTTATTCAGGATTCTCGATTATTTCATTCCCTGATGTTAGCAATGTACAGTGGTCAAATAGGGCCATTTTCTCGTCGGAACCTTTTACTGGTTTTCATCATGTGCGAGTTAGAATTAATACGGTTTATATACTTCTATCTATGTGGGGAGAAAAAAAAACGTATGTACTCAGCTACAAAAATTATTTTGTACACAACGAGGGCTTCCGTTTTTCTCTTACTGGGAGTTTTGGGTATTGCTTTATATGGTTCCGTTGTACCAACATTAAAGTTGAAACATCAGTTACTCAGTCTTATCCTATAGCCTTGGAAATACTACTTTATATTGGATTTTTTATTGCTTTTGTTGTCGAATCGCCGATTATACCCCTACACACATGGTTACCGGACACCCACGGAGAAATGCATTACAATACTTGTATGCTTTTGGCCGGAATCTTTTTAAAAATGGGAGCATATGGGTTGGTGTGGATCAATATGGAATTATTATCGCACACCCATTTTATCTTTTCGCCATATTTAGTGATAGTAGGTACATTGCAAGTAATCTATGCAGCTTCAACATCTCTTGGTCAAAAGAATTTTTTTAAAAAAAAGAGTAGCCTATTCTTCAGTATCCATATGGGTTTCATAATTATAGGGCTCAGATATATAACCGATATGGGACCCAACAGAGCTCTTTTATAAATAATATCACATGCATTTATTGGTGCTGCACTTTTTTTTTTGGTGGGTACCACTTATGATGCTGCACCTTGTTTATCTTGACCAAATGGGCGGAAAAGCTATCTGAATGCCAAAAATATTCATTATGTTCAGTACTTTTTCCATGCTTCTCTTTCATTACCGGGTATGAATGGTTTTGTTGCGGAATTGCTAGTATTTTTTGGAATAATTACCAGCAAAAAATTTCTTTTAATCTCCTAAATACTAATTACTTTTGTACTGGCAATTGGAATTATATTAACTCCTATCTATTTATTCATTATCTATATCACGACAAATTTTTTATGGATACAAGTTCCTTAATATTCAAAAAGGCTCTTTTGTTGATTCTGGACCGCGTGAGTTATGTATTTCGATTATGCTCTTTTTACCCATATTAGGAATTGGTATGTACCCGGATTTCATTTTTTCACTATCAGTTGATAAGGTCGAAGTTATTCTATCTAATTATTTTTCTATAAATTTGAAAACTAGTTTTTACAAATTTGAAAATTATTTATTTTGTAGTTAAAAATGTAGTTAAGAAGGTCTCTTTTTTCATTCGAGACCATTTTGTCAATTTCTAAGTAAAGTTAGAAAAAATTGAATTTTAAACCCATATGATATGGGCAATGAGCCCAATATTTTATTTACACGACTAGCATAAAGTTTT